CTGAAATAGATCAGCAAGTAATACTGGGAAGAAATGTCAAGAGTTCATATTTCCTGCAGGGTCACCCAAGGCATGAAAGTCATCCTCCCTGCTCAGCTAAAGCAAGGAGGCCCTTATATTAGACAACAACAATATAGAAAAATGCTGGAGGCAGTTTATGAATTTAATGAAAAGGGCAATGAGCCAGTTTACGAATTTAATAACAAAGACAATGAGGCCAGTTTGGTCTAGTGGTTAAAGCACCCATGAAAGCCACATGGGTAACTTTGGGCCAATCACTCTCTCTCAGCCCAATTCATGTCACAGGCTTGTTGTTGGGAAAATAGGAGGAGAAAAGTGTATTGGCTATGTTTGTTCCCTTGAGTTATTTGTAAAAATAATAAAGGTAGGTTACAAATAAAATGAATAAATAAATCATTTTATACTGTGTGGGAGAATACATAAATTTGTATTTTACCAAGAAAACTGTATGGACAGATAAAATTTAAAATTTTTAACCTTAATTTAATTTTTATGTTAATTTATATATATTTTTATTTATTGGTTATATTATATTGTACTGAGTCCCACTTTGAGGGAGATTGGCAATTTAGAACTTTGATAAACAAACAAACAAACAAACAAATAAATAAGTGTGACAGTTGATAAAATGAGCCCTTCAGCTTAGATGGCATTTAATAATCTACTAAAGAAGGATTAAGGATATTTTGGAATACTAAAGGTATGTAGATTAAAGCCTTGTGGTTGTCTGGTTATTGATTTTGCAATGCAGGAAAGAAAATCTGAAGCTGCAAAGGCAAGCTTCAGTGGGACCATTCAACGTGAGAAGCATGAATATAGGAAAGTTCAATACAGTGGCCTATAAAATAAATCAACTACATACTGATATCTTAACATCAGCAGAATGAAATAGACTAGAACTGGACGCTTTCAATCAGAAAGTTACACTGTTTACTGGAGCACAGTAAAAAAAAGACCAAACTAAATGACAATATGGTAACAGATAGAATTGACAATGAAGATACTGAAATGGAGGATAGATATGATATTGTTGCCATCACGGAAACATGGTGGGATGAAACCCACAAATGGAACACACAGCTAGAGGGATTTAAATTATTTAAAAGAAACAGACCAAATAAAAGAGGAGGTGGAGTTGCTCTCTATATAAGAAATAACTGCATCTCTACAGAAATAGAGCACAACAATGATGAAAACTGTCCTGAATGCATATGGGTCAATATAAAAAAAAAGGGGGGGGGAAACGACATTGCCATAGGTGTATACTATAGGCCACCCAACCAAACAGAGGAAATAGATTAACTTTTTGCTAGTCAGCTAACTAAGGTATGTAGGAAGCACATCACAATAGTAATGGGGGACTTTAACTACCCTGACATCAACTGGGAGACAAACTCTGCACCAAGTGGAAGATCAAACAGATTCCTGACAAACCTAGCAGACAACTTTGTCTCCCCAAAAGTAGAGAAGGGAACTAGGGGATTAGCCATTTTGGATCTAATTCTCACTAACAGAGATGAAATGATAGAAGGTGTTGAAGCCATAGGAACCTTGGAAGTGATCATGTAATATTGGAATTCAACATTATGGAAGCACAAGCAATAGAACACAGTCAAACTAGAGTCTTGGACTTCAAGAGAGCTAATTTCAATAAACTTAGAGAAGGTTTGGGAAGGATTCCATGGATGAGAATCCTCCAGGGAAGAACAACTCAAGAGGCTTGGGAAATTTTGAAAAGTGAGATAATAAAAGCCCAGTCTAGCATAATACCAACAAAGAGGAAAAATAACAGCTCTCAAAAGAAACCAGCATGGCTGCATAAAGAACTCTCTGATCAATTGAAAGATAAAAAGGACAAGTATAGAAAGTGGAAAGAGGGACACATAACTACCGGTAAGTCAGAATAACAGCAAATAGCCCGAGCCTGCAAAGATGAAGTGAGGAAAGCTAAGGCTCAAAATGAACTAAGGCTTGCGACCAAAGTCAAAAATAACAAAAAAAGCTTCTTTCAACATGTAAAAAACAAGAAAAAAGTGAAGGAAACGATTGGTCCATTAGTGGGTGAAAGTGGCAAGAAGGTGACAAGCAACAGGGAGAAAGCAGAAC